TTCTCATATTCTCCAATCACAATCTCAGATGCTGGTTCCTTAATTATGTCCCACAGATACCGGGAATGCCCTAATTAAAAGCCTCACACTTCATGGCATTGACTTTTTAAAAGGATTTTGTGTTTATATTATGTGGCTCTATGTTATATACAAATAAAATATCACAGATAATAAATCAAATGTCTTCCTGCATTTGTTGAAATATCTTACAGGTCTAGTGCAGTATACCAGTGATCTTAATTCCAAGCCATTGACTCACATTCATTTCCCTGTCATTGCACTTCTGTACCCCTAAGGCTATGAATTAAATTCCATCCCTACTTGTGCGACTCCCTATGGCAATGTATGGAGTTATGGGGGGGGGAATTACTGGAGCTATGTTGGGGAAGATACTAAATCCCCACCTTATTAAACTAAAGTATAATTGATAATGATAATTTTCTAATTGTATCATTATACTTTCACAAAAGCAGTATATATTCTGCATAATAACATATTTAGAAAATGAACAGCCCAATACCATGAGTGCTGGAGTGATGGCCCCTCTTCTCCATCCTACTGGCAGTCTTTCTTGACTACTGTTTCAATTCTTTAATGCAATTCCCTTAATAATCTAGCCTTTTTTTCCCCAAAATACAAGTGTCACCCAATAGTAATAGCATATTTTTTACTGACGATAAATTATGATTATGGAGCTAACTTTGGGACATTTTAGTAAATCTCTGTCTAATAACATAAAATGCTGTTATTTCATTTGATCCTTACAACAACCATGTAAGTTATTATGCCTATTAAAAAAAAAGGAAGTTGAGGCACAAAGAGATTGACTTGACTAGGATCATACAGCAAATAAAATCAGAGGCAAGAGTAGAAGAACCTAGGATGTCCTGACCACGTCCAGGACTCTATCTACTAAGCCATACATAATTTTCTCAAAATTTGTAGATGAAAGCAAACTGAAATTTCATACTTTTCTTCCTAGATATAGATATAGATATAGATATAGATAGATTATAGATATAGATAGATTATAGATATAGATATAGATATAGATATAGATATAGATATAGATATAGATATAGATATAGATATAGATATAGATATAGATATAGATATAGATATAGATATAGATATAGATATAGATATAGATGGCATAGACATAGACATAGACATAGACATAGACATAGACATAGACATAGACATAGACATAGATATAGATATAGATATAGATATAGATATAGATATAGATATAGATATAGATATAGATATAGATATAGATATCACATTGGAACACTTTCATGACCTATGATGTCCACTTCTTTCAATTTTGAGAATACTCAGTGTTTCCATTAGAGTGACATTTCTTTCAGCATTTGTTAGAATATCCTGTGGGCACAGCGTGGTATATTGGTGAACTTAATTGACTTGCAAGAAGTTGACCCAGGTTCATTTCCCTGTCAATGCACATCGAGGTGGAGAAAGAGGTTGAGGAGACGGGAAAGAAAAAAGATAAAAATTTCTAATGATACTAAAGAGAGTAAGCTAAGACCAGGACAATATAAAGAGGAGTAATAAAGGGACCCAGATGCTGCAAGGGGACTCCATGGTGACCTGAGAGTGTCATGGGGGAAAAAAAGAGCTAAATGAATGACACATTAATTATTGGCCCAGTAGGTGAAGGGGGGAAAAGGTGAAAGGGCCTCTGTTGGTCACTAACAAAATAGCTATAATCTGCAGAATTTATAAATACAGACCAACAACAGCACCCATTAATAATTTTAAAAGGCTCATGATCATTAGGACAGAGACAATTGGGAGCTCAAAGACAAACCTGATCATATATATTATTTGTTTGTATCAAACCCCATGTATGATGATAATGAGATTAGAACGGCTGTATTTGGTTAGAAAGGCACGGATGTCATTAGAGGCTCACTGCCTCACCAAGGGAGATGATGACCAAGTGGGGGGCGGAACTATAAAATATTCAATCTGTGCATAGAGTTATAGATTTAGAGCTGAAAGGAACCTCAGAGGTGATTTCTAACCCTTCATTTTCCCAATGAAGAAACTAGGGGCAAGAGATGTTAAGGGGCCTATTCTAGATTAAGCCAGTAGTAAGAAGTAGCATTCAAATCCAGGTTCTCTGAGTCCTGAAACTATGGTATTCCTCCTATACTATGTATGCTGCTTCCCAAGTTCTAATAGATCTCTGTGCGGCACCAAACACATCAGCAGCTTAGAAAGAGAAGTCAGTTTCTATTAACCAGAGCAGGAAGAAGTTTTACTCTTACCAAAAGGCTAAGTACTTCTGGTCTGCTGGGGAACAGCATGTCTTTCCCACAGGTAAGTAAGCTCTCCTGCATAATTCTTAGAGGTATGAGCTTAGAGGTGTGGGCATGTAGGGCAAGGACAGGGACAAGATCACTTGTTCACATGTATGTGTAATCCTTGAAGCGGTAGGAGCTGGTGGGTTATAAATAAAAATAAGTGTGGCTGAAGTAAATAATTTCTAAGGGTTTTTTATGCTGTAAGATCCCAACTAGGGTAATGCAGACCAAAGAGAAGGGGTAGCCCTGGAAGAAATGTGTAGGACAGGTAATTTGTTCAGCATTTATCTGTTACCATGAGGGACCTGACTTAACTTTAGTTCTTAGCTCTACGGGATTAGCAGCTAAGGTCACTTGGGCAACTCCTTGACTATCTACCGTGAAAGTCAATTCCTCACTCTCCCAAAGTTAAGCTGCATTTAAGCAAACAAACTCTAAACTAGAGAAGGACTGAATTGGACTATGAGAGACATCAAAGTAAGTCACACAATGGCTAGGTATACTCTCACTCAGACTACTACTATTCCCTGAAGAGCTGTTGAAGTCAGATAGTGATGTCATTCCCAACATACAAGCTCAAGAGCCCGTGTAAATCTCTGGATGGGGGTTGAATCACTTCCTCTCTGAGAGCATAAGCATGGCTTCTGAACACTGAGGCTATTCCTGTTATGTACCATCCTCAGTCTTCCAATGAGCTACTGTCATGGCTGTGGCCTTACCCAGCTGGCAATCTTCCAACCATATCACAGTTGTTTCTTGGCTGTCTTGTGACAATTTCCTTTCACCTGTGAAACGCCATCTGGTAGCATCTCTGTGAGAGATCATACTAGCAGCCAGAACCTACTAGCTAGATCTCTTCTTGAAAGAGGTTTTAAGTTTGCATGGGAAAAAAGAAAAGCTAAAGAAGAAAATCAAAGTTTCTTATCTGCAGCTACAGACACATTGTTGGTATTCTTTCTGATGTAAGGGTAGGGAATCAAGCTGAGTTATAACAAGAATGATAGGTCATTTATCATCCTGTGTAATTCCATAATGAATCACATATAATTCCAAAAGATAAAGACAATTTGTTTTGGTGACGGAAGAGGATTTTCACCTTGCTAGCAAGAGGGCAGATTTAAGGATAAGTATTACCTTCTCTCAATTTTTACACCATTGTCTGTCTCCTCAAAATTAAAAAGGGTGCTAAGGCAAGTTACAAGCCCGACTCACTGGAAAACCAATAAGGAGAACTGAGTCTGGAAAAATCCCCTCAGGAGCAAAAAGAATCAACTTATTTGACTAACTCTGGGTCATCAAACCAAGGGGTAAATTTTATTCAAAGAAGATTCTCCACAGTCAGAACTGACCCCTCTCAGAGGTCTCTAAACATCTATTTAATATCCTAGAGACAGTCTCTGATTGCTGTGGAGCAGTAATCTTAATTCTTCTTGGTTTATTCTTTGGTTCATATAATATGAAAAAAAAGCTTAACATATTTTAGTGGTGTCAGTGTGTCAGAAAGACTGACTAGTTTAAAAAAACTGGCTTCTGCAGTGGCAAAGGTTAGGAAGCTAAACAACTTTCAAATGGGTAAATTTAAGTTGTAAAATACAGAGAATAAATGCAGAATGCTATTGTTAAAATCACTTTCATGACTAAAACTTTGCTCTTATATTAAATATTTATAAGGCACTCTACATATTCACAACACTTTACAAATGTTCAAAAGAGTTGATCATCTCAACTAGAAAAAAGTTTATGCTAAGAAGGAACAGCTTTTCTAAAAATCAAAGAGACATTATACAAATGAAAAAGCCTGATATTAACAGATATTTGCTGGATATTAACCAATAATTTTTTTATAATTTCCCGATCAGGCAAAATTGATCTTACTCCTAAGTAAGCAGCCATGCCTATGTAAACATTGAGGAAGGCTTTCTCCACATAACTAAAAGTAGCTTGTCAAATTGCTTGGGAATCACAAAGGTAAATATTCAGTTTTAAGAGGTTTTAAGTTTTCTTAAAGTCTGATTTAATAGTCATCCATTTAGGAAGTGCCAAAACACAGCTGATAGTGCCTAACAAACATCAGGTTAACCAGAAAAATAAGTCAAGTTTCCGTGCAGAAACATTTTAAAACAGTAGAGAACCACTACTTTAAACAATATCTGGACTGAAAATATGATGGCATTTACCTTTTTTTATCTGTGTACAAAGATGTTCAAGGGGATGTTAATTTGTATGTGAGAATTACAGAAGAATTCATTTTAAGACATTCTGTGATTTAGCTGCCTTACCAATTCATATTTGATGACCATCATGTAAATTGGTGAGCTCTGTATTGATTCTATACAAGCAGAACCAAACATAACACTTAACATAATAAAAGGAAAAATGCAGCCCAAATTTTAAGGTTCTTTGCCACAGGAACTCCAAATGCTATTTGTTCCCCCATACTTCCTTCCCATGGAGCTAACTACATTCAATGATAAATTGAGCTCCATATTTTCAATCTAAGTCTATCAAAGACTTCCACAGGGAATTACATTATTGAGTTACACAGACTGAGAATCTAGCTGTAGGATTAGATGAGAACATTGTACTTCCTCCTTAGGTTTGACTACAGATGTGAAGCACAGAATCAGTGAGTTGAAAGCACTAGGGAGTGTGTGTTTCATAAATTGTTACCTGGAGGCCCTCTATTGCTAATCTCAGCATGCTCGGTGTGAGTTTAGAGGCCTGCTTGAAGGTGAAGTTACTCCAGTCTATGATCAGAACAAATCCATTCACTTGTAGTTCTGGATCTTCAATCATGGCTTCCAAAGAAAGAAGTATGGCACGCAAAATATCCACTAAGGTGTACCTACAGGCAACAGAAAAAGTACTAATTAAGTCAGAGCACTATTACAACAGAAGCCTCAGAAAGTCAACAACATACCTTGAAATGTTCCTTTTAAATGCCTCAACAAATTTGGAAGGCTTTGCTTTTAAAAAGCCATTAAAATATGTCTGGTGGATACATTCTCAAGGGAAATATTACATTTCCACAATACATCTGACAAAAAAAAAATCTATGACAAGCTAGAAAAAGCCATAATTGGTTACATTGCAAAATATGAATTATCTTTAAATTACTAGGTTTGCACACTATATAATCTATTTAATTACAATTATAGAATAATCTACATATATTGTGCAAACCTTTCAGTCTTTAGCTACCGTGTTGTTGTTAGTCATTTTCTACTCTTGACGACCTCATTTAGTGTTTTCTTGGCAAAGATACTGGAAAAGTTTGCTGCTTCCTTCTCCAGCTCATTTTACAGATGAGGAATTGAGGCAAACAGGGTTAAGCGATTTACTTAGAATCACGCAGCTAATAAGTGTGTCTGAGGCCACATTTGAACTCAGGAAGATGAGTCTTCCTGACTTCGGGCCCAGCACTCTATCCACCAAACCACTTGACTGCCCACTCATCTTTGGTAGTTCTCTGTTTTACTACCACAACCTGCTTGAGGATGCTACTTCTAAAAGAATCCCATCATTCTCACAGAAGATGTTTCCTGACTCCATGTTCTAGAATCTCCTCATGCAGAGTAAGAGGGACACCTCTATAAACGATAAGACCATCACACAGAAATATCTGTGGTAAAGGTAATATTTACTGAGGTTGAATTTATTGCCTAAACTGACTTTCTCTTTTCTCTTAAAAAATTAAAAAAGGGGAGGGGGGAATAAAGAGAGAGAAAACTAATAAATATGAACTTTTAATACAAAATTCAACCTTCTTTAATATAATTATATTCTAATTGTGGAGACCATGTTTTCTTCTAATATTTGAGCATATTGAACTTTAAGAAAACACCCTACATAATTACTTAATAGTTGTTGGGTTCTATTTCTCCCTTCATACCAGAGGGGCACTATAAACTAAGCAATCTTGTAAGCATGTGATCAATAAGAATTCACAAAATACATACTATGTGCAAGGAACTGGAGTGGGCACTACAGGGCACGAATTAAAGGTAAGCCAATTGTTTATTCCCCTCCTTCCTCTGTCCTTTCCTTACAGTCATAGCAGCCATCCTATCTCAGCTCATACTACTAACACAATGGCCTTGAAAAAGAGCTCAACTTTGCTCGTTGCTGTTTGTATTTTGAATTGCCCTCTGGGGAACCATCAGTAACCACCTACCACCAGAACTAGTGAAACATGGTAGTAATATTGAAGGGATTTCTGCTATCCTCCTTCTAAGATAACCTAGTGAGATTCTATAGATTTTACAGCCAGGAGATAGCATTAGTCATCATGGCATATGTCACTTTTACAGGAAGAAAGAACTGGTTTTCCCTCCCAAGGAGTAAGTGTAAAGCTACCCTAGGAATCCTTAAATATCATTAGAACAATGCATTTTAACCTTGAACACAGGGAAAAGAGACACTACAATTATGTTACATAACATGAAAATGTGAGATATATGAATAAATTATATGAACAGGAAGAATTCTTTTTAAAAACAGTAAAATTTTTAGAAAAAGAAAGAAAAGAAAAAAGGGGAAAAGATTTAGGAGAAAAAAGCAGTAAAATATCACAGAATAATTCCATGCCAGAGAAAACTAGGTGGCATAGCAGATGAACTCTGAGTCAGGAAGACTGAGTTCTAATGCTGCCTCAGACACTTCTTAGTTATGTAACTTATTAGGTTTTAGTCCCATTAAGTGCAGAGACGTTAAAACCTCTTAGTTCAGTTTCCTCATCTATAAAATTGGGATAATAATAGTGCCTACCTCACAGGATTGTTGTATTAAAATGAGATAATGTATGAGTTACACACACACACACACACACACACACATGCACGCACTTTGCAAACCTTAAAGGGTTATGTAAATGTCAGCAATTTTTATTATAATTATTATTATTTTCATCATTCTTTTCCTGAATTTCTGACCTGAAAAAAATCAAAGCAAAAGTAAAAAAAATAATAAAACAAAATAAAAATGTCTGAAAATTAATGGATCAAATAGGAAAGCATAATAAATGAACTTCATTAAATCAGAATGTGTCATGCTTTGGAGTTGTGATTTACCAGACAGTTGCTGTAAATAGATGGTTTCTATTGGATATTTTATGCATCTACAACTTGCTACACTGGTGCCTGCTTTATCACCCTAGGTTCTCCAAGATTGTTGACTGAATGAAAGTTCTGTCAAGTTCTACTACAGTGGAAGAGCTTTGAGCATGGCCCTATCAACAGATTGGATATAATTTCAGAAGGCCAGCCTGGCTATAAATGGAGAGGTTCATCACTAGTAAGCTGGTTACTTGGTGATGAATACATTGGCTATGGCAGACCATGTAATAAAGACAAATCCAAAATGGCCCTCAATACCCACAAGTCCCTTACCCATCTATAGTGATGGTGGTAGAGTAAAGGAAATGAGAGCAGAGAGATCTAGGAACCTCATATTTTCTATAAATATTAACTTAGTTGTGGGTGTAGGGGCACCTAGATGATGCAATAGATAGAGTGCCAGGCCTCGAGTCAGGAAGAATTGAGTTCAAATTTTATCTCAGAAACTTACTAGCTTTGTGACCCTGGGCAAATCACTTAACCCTTCTTGCCTCAGTTTCCTCATCTATAAAATGAGAAGGAAATGCAAACCACTCCAGTATCCTTACCAAGAAAATTCCAAATGGGGTCAGTAAGAGTTGGACACTACTGAAAAACAACTGTGTACTCGTGGGTGCATGCACACACACCACACACACACACACACACACACACACACACACTGGTACTCTGTGAAATCCACATCCAGTGAGTAATAAATAGATTCACTCATCAAATGAGGTTATACATGTAAATTGCTTTGCAAGTGTATTGCTGTTTTTACCAATGGAAGAACTGAATTATATTAACTAGACATTCTCAGAATAAACAACCAGAAGAAAAAAGTTACTGAAAAGATGAGTGTCAGGTTCTCCTTGAAAAACAACATAAAAGAGTTTATGGGGTTGGTTGTATCCTGTGCTACCCAAAGCAAAAAGAAATTTCATTTTATGGGGCATTTACTCATCTCAAATCCTAGTGCTCATGGTAAGTTTTTGGAGAAGCTTGTGATCAAAAATATCTTAATTTATATAAAACACATTCTGTAAAATATGCAGAGATACATAAATTCTTCAAAGAAGTCAGTGTTGTTATTTAGTCATTTTTCAGTTGTGTCTGACTTTATGACCCATTTGGAGTTTTCTTGGCAAAGATACTGGAGTGGTTTGCCATTTCATTCTCCAGCTCATTTTACAGATGAAGGAACTGAGGGAAACAAGGTTAAGTGACTTGCCCTGGGTCACATGGCTAGTCAGTATCTGAGGCCAGATTTGAAGTCAAGAGGATGAGTTTTTCTGACTTTAGGTGCAGCACTATACCCATTTTGCCATCTATCTGCCCAAAGAAACTAGTAAAATCCTCCAAATTAAAGCTCAGAGGGGCAGCTAGGTGGAGGATAGAGATAGAGAACTGGCCCTGGAGTCAGGAGGACCTGAGTGCCTCGGACACATAACACTTACTAGCTGTGTAACCCTGGGCAAGTCACTTAACCCCCATTCCCCCCCCCCAAAAAAATTAAAGCTTAGAGTCAGCAGTGGAATAATACACAGGGTTGGCCTTAGAAGCAGGAAGACCTACTTCTGGCATATACTAGTTATGTGGCCTTTGGCAAAGTCATTTAACCTCTCAGTGTTTAGACAACTCTGACCTGGGTTGGTGGAAGAGTTTTCCTCATCTAGTAATTCCATAAATCTCTAGAAAGTCACAGGTCCAATCAGTATCCCTCTCATGCCTGGTAACTTTTGGCATCATAGATTTAAAATTAGAAGGAACTTTGGAGATCACTGAGTCCAACTTCCTCATTTTTATATATGAGGAAACTACAGCACAGAAAGGTTAAGGGGTTTACCTAGGTTCCCACAGATAGTAAGTATCTTGAGGCAGTATAGAATATGCAATGAACCTGGGTCCTCCTGATTCCAAGCCCAGTGTTCCATCCACTATTCCACACTGTCTCTTCAACACAAAAGTTGAAAAAAGAGTAATGGATCAGTAATAAAGAACATGAGAGACCAAAGAACACTCCTGCTTCAAGTTCATGAATATTTAAGAAAAAAAAGATGAAAGGTACTAGACATGATGAATAACATCACAAAGAATTTAATTATTTTAACAGATAGGAAATGGCTCATTATTGACATAAAAGTCACTCCAGAATCAGCAGTCTGTAAAGAGTCAGACTACTCTCTTGTTAAAGCAAATATCAACTTGACCTGGCCAAAGCAGAATACATCTTTCTTCAAAAATCTCCTTTTTTACAAATTTTATTACTGATGTTTGGGATCCTGTCATCCTTCCAAGGCACAGTTGTTAGCAAATTTCTTATCCTCAGTACCTTTACATACATACATACATACATACATACATACATACATACATACACATACATATGTGTGTCTAATGATAGCCATCTCTAGGGTGGGGGGGTAGAAAGAAAGAAAAAAGTTTGCATGATAATTTTATCATATATTTAAAAGGAATAACAAATTATACATAATAGATTTGCAGTTTCATGTGCAACCATCTTTTTAATTATACTATGTTATGGAAATGCTTGTTTGATTCCATAAATTAAAAATAAAATCAATTTTAAAATGAAAAATACCTCACTCTTACCCACATATCCAATCTGTGTTTAAATTCTATCATTTCTACCTTCACAGCATCTCTCTTCTATGTCCCCTTCTTTTCACTCACACAGTCTACACCCTAGTTCAGGCCCCCATCACCTTTCACCAGGATTATTGCAATA